ACACTTAACAAGATAGTAATCAAGTTTATTCAGTGTCATCTTCTGGAGTTCTTTTTGTTTTCTTCTCTGTATTTTATTTTTAAACGTGTTACTGATACTGTTTCTTTCTTTTTTTGAAATTGCTGTCACTTTCCCCAAAGGCAGCCTCACATAGTGGCTAGAGAGCTGGTCATAGAGATAGGAAGGACTGTGTTCCAGTTCAACCTCCAATTCATACCTGCTGTCTGACCCCAGTACTTAACTGCTGAGTACAATAGCTAACTCTCTAAGACTAGAAGTTGCATAGCACAAAGTCATGTGGCTTCTTACCTCTTCAAGAATAAAAAAAAAAAGAATATAATAATAATATATATATTAATTGTGGAGTATGCTTGATGTGGTATTTTACTAGCCCCAAAGGACTTTCCAAGTTACAGAGAAAGTGCTGACCTGCACTGGTAGGAAGAGTTTACTCATCTGAGAATTCCTTATACCATTGAAGCCACAGATCCAGTCTCTATCCCCCTATCACTTTCCACTAACTCACTCCACCTCCAAAGTTGAAGCCCCACTTCCAAAGGTACGTAAAATAAATCAAGATATTATGTCTGAAAATGCATATCTCATTCTAAATCTCTGTTCTATCAGCTCTCTACCAAGAGGTGGGAGGAAGGCTTCCTTATCAAGCTTCTGAAGTTATGATTTTTCTAGTCCCTTTCCAGTCATCTGTTTAAAGCTACTGTCCCATACATCTACGGCAATTTAAAGGTGTAGCAAGGCAAATTTTCACCTTTGATTTTAGACATTTTGATTTTCAGAAACTAACCTCCACATAGTACAGGACCTGGCATATAGTTAGGACTTAATAAATGTTTCCTTTTGTAGCCAGATTTTCTCTCTTATATTTGTATTCCCCTGCTTTTTCTCATATTTCTAGTAGTTTGTTTCTGTTTCTGCTTTTCACTCTTTGTCTCTTCTTCCTTTTACCTGAAGAATGAAAAGCCTAGGCTTGAGGTAAGTCATTGGGTTTCAAGAGAGTTTAACATTACTGCAAAAGCCTGTGGGTTTAAAAAAAAAAGTCAAGCAAGTGAAAACTGGAAGAAATTCAATCTCTATGCATCTGTGTGTCTCTAAATTTCCATGAGCTTTCATTTTAGTGTGTGCATGTATGGGGGGTGTGTGTGTGTGTGTAAATGTGTATGGGATTTAGGAACCTCCAAATCCCAGGGGCGGTAAACAGGCAATGTGACAGAAGTTGACATCTAGAGTTAAGATCAAGAAGGTCAGAGAACTGAGATTGTGCTCAGCAAGTTTCAGAAAGTATCTAGGTGATGGGAATTTTCCAATGACCTGTGGAGATTATAATATGTTGTGCTTCCTCTAGAGCAAACTAACAACATGTGTACAAAATTCAGGTTGAAAAAAAAATCCTGTAGGTTGTTGACTATGTATGCTATCCTGTAGAAACAATGGATAAATGGCATTGCCATGGGGAAGAATGCTCTCTCTAGGCAGAACAATGGAAGCTTCTGCTCCACTTACAGTACTTGCAGGGCTTTTATGAGGATCAAATGGATTTTGATTTCTAACATATTTCTGCTATAGCTTCTGGTTTAAAGAGTGGGTTCATCCAATTCATATTCACAGGAGAGCAGAGGAGAGGACGAGCTGAGTTGCCCAACTGGAACTGGCCAGCTGGGTCACCATTCAGGCAGATCAGACTACTCACAGATTGTGGTTTGTCCTTCATTCTTCTTAAAGAGGCCTATTCACTGAATGGGTGTTGCCTCACTCAAAATGAGAACCTGGAAAGACCTTAGCTTAATATGGTCAAGGTCTCCCACTGCATCCTGTTCTCTTCAGTCGTCCTGATTGATATCTAGCCACTGGTCCCAGTTGGCTCTGGAGGAGAAAGTGAGGCTGGTGACTTTGCACAGCCCTTTCTCACTTAAATCCAGTTCACCTGCAAGTCATGGCATCATCTTCCTAATGTCATGGTCCTCTCTGAGAATGAAGGACAAATCACACACATGATTCACAGTTACAACTGCTGTGTCCCTGTCCCCTCAAGTCAGTTTTGCTTCTGACCACTGCATCTCTTAATCTTCCCTCCCTCTTCTTACCCTTTCCTTTTTCTTGCCCCTTCTCTGTCTGTTAGGTAAGTTAGATTTCTATTTCCATTTGAGTATGTATATATATTCCTCCTTCTCTGACCCGTTAAGATGAGAGATTCAAGTGTTGCCTGGTCACTCCCTTCCCTTTTCCCTCTACATTTAAAAAACTTTCTCACACACCTCTTTTGTAAGATAAATTTCCAACATTCCAACATATTAGCCTCATACCACATTCTCTAAGTGGCCTCCTTCTGTCTTAATAATGATGAAGTTTTGAGGGGTTACTTGTATCATTCTAACCCTATATAAAAATTTAAATCTTGTAAATAATATTTAGACTATAAAGACCATTAACAATTCAACCTTATTAAGTCCCTTGTGATTTCTATGTTTACCTTTTTATGTTTCTGATCCTTCTGTTTGAATGTCAGATTTTCTATTAAGTTCTGGTCTTTTCACCAGGAATTCTTGAAAGTCTTCTATTTCATTATATATCTGTCTTCTCCCCCACACTTATCCCCAACCTTGTAGGATTATACTTAGTTTTGCTGGGTAGGTTAATCTAGGTTGGAATCCTACTTCCTTTGCTTTCCAGAATCTCATATTCCAAGCCTTCCACCCCTTTACTGTGTGATCCTGATCTGGGAGCCTTGGGATTTGGCTATAATATTCCTGAAAGTTCTCATTTTGGGGTCTTTTAAAAAAGGTGATTGGTGGATTCTTTCCATTTTAACTTTGCCCTCTGGTTCTAATATATCTGGGAAATTTTGCTTTATAATTTCTTGATTATGTCTAGGATCTTTTCTTGATCATGGCTTTCAGGTAGTTCAATAATTCTTAAAATATCTCTCCTTGATCTATTTTCTAAGTCAGTTTTTTTTTCCCTATGAAACATTTCACATTTTCTTCTAATATTTCAATCTCCTGACATTATTTTGTTGGTTTTTTGATGTCTCATGGAGTCCTTAGTTTCCAATTAAAAAATTTTAAATTTTAAAGGAGTTATTTTCTTCTCTGAGATTTTTTACCTATTCTGCTATTTGGCCAATTCTGATTTTTTAAGGAGTTATTTTCTTTTTCAGTATTTTTTTTCCTCTTTTACAAAGTGGTTAGTTCTCATTTTAAAATTTTCTTGCATTACTCTAATTTCTTTTCCCAATTTTTCCTTTACCACTCTGATCTTAAAAATTACCCCCAAAAATTTTTTTTTATTAAGCTCTTCTAGGAAAGTTTGTTGGGCTTGTGTCCAATTTGCATTTTTCTTGGAGAGTTTGCTTATATTTTCAATTCATTGTCTTCTGAGCCTATTTCTTGAGCTCTGAGAGTCACCACAGTAGATTTTTATGGTCAGGTTCTTTTTTTGTTTGCCTATTTTTTCAGCCCTTTCTCAGTTTGGACTTTATGTAAAAACTGGTCATCTCTGGGAAAGTGGGGGAGTGGGCAACTGACCTAGTCTTCTGATTTTTATGTCCTGCAACTTTCTGAGCTAGGTTTGGGTGCATGTAGGTTTTCTGTGCTTCCAAGATGGTATGATCTGCTGAGAGGTTGAGTAATTGCCCTTTTGGTCTTCACTCTGGCCTTCATTTCATTTGGCCCTTACGCAAGAAAGTGCACTGTTCCCTTGCCACCACAAACGCTCTTCTCTACCTTTGAACTGCAAATCAGAACTGGGTAATGAGCAATGGAGCTACCAAATGTCACCAATCTTGCATCCCTGGAATTTCTTTCTGACCAGGTCTTCCCTTCTCTTAACTTCCCAGGGTTCTGGGCCAGTCCCTGTTGCTGATATTACATAATATGTGCTGCACTCCTGGCTAGCTCCCACTCCAGTGTCTAGATAACTCTTTTTCTGTCTTTTTAAGTTGCCCTGGGCTGGAAAAATGACTCCTTACAACTGATTCTTGACTTTCTCACTCAAAATCTGGTTTGGTGTGCTTTTTAAATTGTAGAGAGGGTGTGTTAGGAGAGTAAGGCAAAAATGCTGGCTTTACTCTACCATCTTGGTTCTGCCTTATATCCTTAGGTTGAATGATTTTCTTCCTTCACTAGATGCATAAGGTTTTTTCTCTAATATCAATTCTCTGCTGCATAGTAAAATGTGCCCCCTCAGTTTGAAGGTCTTCCCATATTCATTACATTATTATTATTACTATTTTTTGGTGAGGCAATTGGGGTTCAGTGACTTGCCCAATCACACAGCTAGTGAGTGTAATGTGTGTGAGGATTTGAACTCAAGTCCTCCTGACTCCAAAGCTAGAGTTCTATCCACTGCACCACCTAGCTGCCCCAATAGATTGCATTCTTCAGACTTCCTTTGAGAATGAATTCTTAGATGATGAGCAAGATATGTCTTCAGTTTGAAGGTTTTCCCACATTCTTTACATTCATAAGGTCTCTCTCTAGTATGAATGCTCTGGTGTTGAGTAAGTTGTGTCCTCTGTTTGAAGGACTTCACAAATTCATTACATTGATAAGGTCTCTCTCCAGTGTGAATTCTTTGATGTACACGAAGATCTGAGTTGTAGAGGCAAGACTTCCCACACTCCTTATATTCATGAAAAATCTCTCCAGTATGAAATCTCTGATGCAGAGTAAGATGTGAAAGCCTTCCCACATCCGCTACATTATAAGGCTTTTCTCCCCTATGAATTCTTTGATGTTTAATGAGTTCTGTGTTGTTGAGGAAAGCCTTCCCGCACTCCTTACATTCATGAGGAATCTCTCCACTATGAATTCTCAGATGGACATAAAGTTGTGTCTTCGGTCTAAAGGCTCGCCCACATGCATTACACTCATAAGGTTGCTCTCCAGTATGAAATCTCTGATGCTCAGTAAGCTTTGACTTCCTCCTAAAGGCCTTTGTACACTCCCTACATTCATAAGGTTTCTCTCCAGTATGAATTCTTTGATGCTAAATAAGATCTGAGTTGTGATCAAAAGCCTTCCCACACTCCTCACATTCATAAAGAATCTCTCCAGTATGAATTCTCTGATGTATAGTAAGATATGTCTTTAAGGGTTTACCACATTCACTACATTTATAAGGTTTCACTCCAGTATGAATTCTCTGATGATCAGTAAGATGTGGATTCCTCCTGAAGGACTTCCCACATTCATTACATTTATAATGTCTTTCTCCACTACGAATGGTGTGATGCACAGTAAATTGTGGCTTCCGAAAGCCTTCCCACATTCATTCCATTCAAAATATTTCTCTTCAAAATGAATTCTTTGATGTCTATTAAGTGCTGAGTTGTAGTGGAAAACCTTCCCACACTCCTTACATTTGTAAAGAATCTCTCCAGTATGAACTCGTTGATGTAGGACGAGATATGCCTTCATCCTGAAGGCCTTCCCACATTCAGTGCATTCAAAACATTTCTCTCCAATATGAATTCTCTGATGTTCAGTAAGATGTGGATTCCTCCTGAAGGCCTTACCACATTCACTACATTCATAAGGTTTCTCTCCTGTATGAATTCTTTGATGTTTAATGTGATGTGATGGTAGGCCTTTGCATACTCCTTACATTCATAAAAAACCTTTCCATTATGAATTCTCTGATGTACAGTAAGTTGTGTCTTAGTCCTGAAGATGTTCCCACAATCACTACATTCATAAAGTTTCTCTCCAGTAAATTCTTTGCTCTCTGAAAGAAAGAATAAAGAGCTTATTAACCATGCCTTTTCTTCCCTTTCCCAAGGTTCCTAGTTGCTCAAAGGTTTTAGAGCTATTCTCTTCCTATCCCACTTGAGAAAGCTAGTCTCACTGGTCTTTCACTAAGGATCACAGCTTATCTTATGTAAGAGTATGATGACTCAAAGTTAACATATGTAAATGAATTGACAGGATGAAATTATCTGGAAGATGAATAAGTCCTTACCCTACTCTAAATGGCTGACATTTGAATGGAATAGGGAAAAGAAAGGAATAAAGTAGATGACTTTGAGAGCTTGCAAATATACCCATGCCATCTGAGGTGAAAATACGAAGGGAAAAGACTGAACAAAAAAAAAAAACAGGAAATGGGGCGCAGAGCCAAGATGGGAGAGTAAAAGCAATGACTTGCTTGACCTCTCCCCCAAACCCCTCCAAATACCTGTAAAAAATGGCTCTAAACAAATTCTAAAGCAGCAGAATCCACAAAAAGACAGAGTGAAACAAATTTCCAGCCCAAGACAACCTGGATGGTTGATTGGAAAGGTATATCATGCCGGGCTGGGAGAGGAACACAGTTTGGTGTGGGCAGGCAGGCCTCAGTGAACGTGGAAGAAGCTTCAGAGGACTGAATCATGGGCAGCAGTGGTGGTTTCCAGACTTCTCAACTCATGAATGCCAAAGACAACTTAGGTCAGTAGGAAAATTCTGTGTCTGCAGTGAGAAAGAAGTGCCGTCTCAGCCCCAGTCCCCGAGTGTGGCCATGGGGTGGCAGCTGCCTCCAGAGCTTCTGGCCCACAGACTGAGAGGGAATCAAGTGGCTGATCAAAGGGGGATTGCAGGGATCTCTTTGCTGGTGCAGGATTCTCTTACTTTGCCCATGCTTGGATCTGGGTCACAGTTCTGGGTGGCAGTCCCGTGGCAAGGAGGAGTGCTGGAGTAGTGGAGCTTGTAGTGGCGATGGAGAAAAAATCCTCCTCACAGTTCCAAGACAGAAAAGAGTGCTTGTGGTCACTCATACACCACAGTACTAGCCAGGAAAGGAGTAAACACCTCGCCCTTGATCATAGCACCTTGGAAGAACTGAAAATTTACAGGTCCCTAGAAGTATCTCTGAAAACAGCTGCACAAAACCCCTGAAGCTTGGGACAGTACATTCTCTACACTGGAAGCAGACCCCTACCTTAACAAAGAGTTTATAACTTGAGTAATTGGCTGGGAACATGAGCAACTACACAAAAAAAGTCAGACCATAGAATCTTACTTTAGTTACAAAGAAGATCAAAACATACAACCAGAAGAAGACAACAAAGTCAAAGCTCCTATATCCAAAGCCTCCAAGAAAAATATGAATTGGTCCCAGGCCATGGAAGAGCTCAAAAGGATTTTGAGAAGCAAGTAAGAGAAGTAAAGGAAAAACTGAGAGTGATGCAAGAAAATCATGAAAAACAAGTCAACAGCTTGCTAAAGGAGACCCAAAAAATACTGAAGAAAATAACACCTTAAAAAATAGCCTAACCCAAATGGCAAAAGAGGTCCAAAAAGCCAATGAGGAGAAGAATGCCCTACAAAGCAAAACTGGTCAAATGAAAAAGGAAGTCCAAAAGCTTAATGCAGAAAATACTTCCTTAAAAATTAGAATGGAGCAATTGGAAGCTAGTGACTTTATGAGAAATCAAGACATTGTAAAACAAATTCAAAAGAATGAAAAAACAGAAAACAATGTGAAATATCTCATTGGAAAAACAACTGACCTGGAAATTAGATCCAGGAGAGAGAATTTAAAAATTATTGGCGTATCTGAAAGCCATGATCAAAAAAAGAGCCTAGACATCATCTTTCAAGAAATTATCAAGGAAAACTGCCCTGATATTTTAGAACCAGAGGGCAAAATAGAAATGGAAAGAATGCACGGATCATCTCCTGAAAGAGATGGAAAGAAAAACTCCTAGGAATATTGTAGCCAAATTCCAGAGTTCCCAGGTCAAGGAGAAAATATTGCAAGCAGCCAGAAAGAAACAATTCTAGTATTGTGAAAACACAATCAGGATAACACAAGATGTTACTAGTGCTACTTCTCATATTCATCAGGGTTATTACTGTAAACTATAAAGATCTGGATCATATTAATTAAAACAAAGCATCACATGGCTTGTAGCAATTGTTGATGTGATGTGATTTCTACCACAGTTCTCTGAATGTCAAAGTGAAGAAATTAAGTGAAGTGCTGGTAAACTGCAGGAGTAACTATGACTTCCTTAATATAGCCAAATGTCTCATCATCTAATTAATTACACACATAAAAGGGTGAACAAGATTCCCACTGTGGTCAAGGGATGTGAACAGGTGGTTTTCAGAAGAAAAAATCAAAGCCACCAACAAACATATGAAAAAAAAATGCTCAAAGTCACCATCGATTAGAGTAATGCAAAATAAAACAATGCTGAGATACCACCTCATGCTAACATGGCTAACATACACACAAAAAAGAAAATGACAAATATTGGAGGGAATGTGGAAAAATAGGGACACTAATGCAATGTTGGTGGAGTTATGAAGTGGTCCAGTCATTCTAGATCACAACTTGGTTGGAATCATGCCCAAAGGAGTATAAAACTGGACTTAGCAATATCACTACTAGGTCTGTATCCCAAAGATACCGAAGGAAAAGGAAAAGGACTACATGTACAAAAATATTTTTAGCAGCTCTTTTTGTAGTGGCAAAGATTTGGAAATTGAAGGGGTGCCCATCATTTGGTGAATGGCTGAACAAGTTGTGGTATATGATCATAATGGAATGCTAGTGTATACAAAGAAATGATGGAGGGGGTCAGAAAAACCTGTGAAGACCTGTATGAATTGATGCAAAGTGAAGTGAGCAGAACCTGGATGCTATTGTACACTGTAATGGAAATATTGTAATGATTCTCAATTGTGAAAGACTTAGGTACTCTGATCAAGACAATGATCTAAGACAGTTCCAAAGGACTCTTAATGAAATATGCTATCCACCTCCAGAGCGAACTGATGAACTCAGTGTATGTTGAAGTTTAATTTTCATTTTCTTTATTTTTTCTTGCGTTTTTGCAGCTTGAGTAATGTAGATGTTTTGCATGATTTCATATGTATAATTGATAAATTTCTTGCCTTCTCAGTGGGTAGGGGGAAGGGCTAGAAAGAGAATTTGGAACTCAACATTTTAAAGAGAATGTATATATATATACATGAATAATAATTTTTTAAAAAGATTTGGAATCACTCACGACATAGACTGGATTATTGAAACCTAACCCGACTCTTTCTGCAATGGAGAGGAAAACCTTAAGATTTCTGCCTGCCTCACTTAACTGCACAAATCTGCCTGCCAGTTCTAGCCAGATGAGTGACAGGTCCAGTGGACTTCAATTTGTGGAGGTCCAAGCCTGTGTAATGGAAGATTTGGTAAACGACTTATGCATACACCAGCCAGAAGTTGGCTCTGTAGTCACTTGACCTATCCTAGAAGTAAGTCACCCGGTCTTTTCTGCCTCTGAGGGTTGGGAATGCTCTACAAATCACCACTTACAAATCCATTGTTCCAGTGTACCTATCCCCTCAACCACAAGTATCCCATGAAGCTCTGTGTGGAGCTGCTGATCTCTTCTAGTCCCTCTTCAACGATTTCATGGCATCTTTCCTCTCCTGGTGAGCAGGCAATATGCAATCAGCTTGTAAACACAGACTAGAGTCACATGTACTTTAACAGAGAATATAGTGTTTTATCCTAACTCTAGGACTCGACATTCCTAAATCATAGGTCAGACTATGTCACGAGAATGTCAACTTGTTAATTGTATAGAGAAGGTGCTTCTGTGTCTGTTTTGGTCTGGGACTGTTATTTCATCCTTATGGGAAAGTTACAGTTTGGAGGATAGGCACACTCAAAGAGATGGACAACTCCTTTGAAAATTACTGTTTTGGGCTTACCATGATTCCAGAGGATTGAAGAAAAGCAGGCTACCCATCTTTTTTCTGGACAGGTAACAGATTTATAATACAGAATGAGATTTACATTTTCAGATGTGGCCAATGTGGAATTTTATCTTGTTGGATACCATGTGTATGTTATAAGGGTTATACTTTTCCTGTCTATTGTTCAATAGGGGAAAGAAGAGGAGGGAGAAAAAAATTACTAAAAATAAAAGTAAAAATTTCAATTAAAAAACCTTCTTTAATGAGTGTCTACAGCATGTCCAGACCTTCTGGGAAGAAATGCAAAACAATTCATGATTAATGTAAATTTACATTGTGAAAGTCTCTCTTTACTAAAGAATTCTGGAAGAAAAGAATAGTGATGGGGAAGGAGAAATAAAGGAATTTGGGGTTTCTAACCCTGTCCCTAATCCTCCAACCCTAACCTTAACTACTGCACCCGACTCTAACCCTCTAACATAGCCAACTCTGCTTCAAATCTAACTATAATGGGGCAGGTAGGTGGTGTAGGGGATAGAGCACCGGCCCTGGATTCTGAAGGACCTGAGCTCAAATCCAGCCTCAGACACATAACACTCACTAACTGTGTGACCCTGGGCAAGTCACCCATTGCCTAACCAAAAAAAAAAAATCTATAACCCTAAATTCATGTCTCCAACTCTGACTCTAACCCTAAATGCCTGACTCTAAGCCTAACCTTGAGTGCTTCTGGCTCTAAAACCCTAAATGTGCAACTCTGACTCTCTTCAACTCCCAATCTATCCCTGACCGTACCCCTAACTCTGCCTTTAACTCTGACCCTAACCCTAACCCTTGAACTGTCACCCTAATTTTGTGACTCAGACTCTTAACCCTAATTTCATACCCCCAACTCCAATCCAAACACCAAATTCACATTACATAAAAATTGCTTTATCTAGACTCTGCAGAATGGTCCACTTAGTAAAGTTAAATCTGTGTATGTAGACCACTATTATATATAGAATATACATAAATAGAATAAGTACAAATAAATGGGGAAATAAATTCAAAGGAATGGCAGTGGGGAGACAAATGGAGGAAAAACTTTGGGCATTTACACTTTCTTCCCGTTCCCATGATCAGGGGCTGAGAAGACCACGTGAGGTAAGGGAAGAGCGGAGGGGGCGGGGCTCCAAGTCAGGAAGGGCAGGGAGGGCGGGGCAGGCAGGGAGGCCGGACCGCATTCCAGGCCCAGAAGACACGGAAGACACCGAAGCCTCCAGACTACGATTCCCAGAAGGCCTTGCTCTTCCCCCCCGGAAGCATTTTCCAAAGCGAGGACGAAACTCCCCTCGGATGTCATTTTCACCCCGCCCTGTCTTCGCCTTTTCCTTACTTTGTGGTGGTAATTTTCTTCCATTCTGTCCTGAGCCGACCTGCGGCCGGGTGAGCGGGAGCTGAAAGCGGTCGGCTGCGGGGGCGCGGCGGGGTCGGAGCGCCGGGGGCTGGTTGGGGAGCGCAGGGAGCATGGGAGGAGCGTCTGCCACAGGGATTGTGATTGGGGGGGGTCTATGGGCGGTGCATGGGCAGAGGCGGAGCCCGCTCTGATGTCACCGGGGCTGCTCGTGAGCTCCCAGGCCTCTGTCATTCCTCCTGTGCACTCTTTGGGGAGGAACTCCTGGTGTCTGTCTGGTCCTTGGTGCCGACTTCCCTGTGGCCTCATCTCCTCCTCCCGCATCCTGGGTACCCCCTCCTCCGGGAAGCCTTTCCTAAGCCTAAGCCTAACCTTCCCCTTCCAAGGGTGCCCTCCTTCCTCTTGTGCCAAGAGCCTCTCAGAGGATGAACTCTCGTATGTCCGGTCTGAGCAGGGCAGACCCCCAGAGTGACCCCTCCTTCTCCTGCTTCTTCTGTCCTCCCCAGCTCTCCCTTCTGTGGCCTCTGCTCTGCCCCAGGAGGACAGCCTGGAGGAAGAGGGAATGGCTTCTGCCCTGACAGCCAGGCCCGGGAAGGTGAGTGCCACTTGCTGCTTTCCTCAAATAGCATCTCAGGCCAGAGACCTTGGGATAGGTGTCTTTGTCCTGTGCTGTAACACTAGGGATTGTGGGTATCAGAGAGTCATATAATTAGTTTTAAAAATGCCATAGAGAGCATCTTTCTTCTTCCCACACAAAAAAAAAATTATCTTACATTTACTTTGGGTTTTTTTTAACACTTATTTTTTGATTTGAGTTCCAAATTCTTCCCCTCCCCCCAGCAATTTTCCCAGAAGTTTTTGTCAAATAGTGAGTTCTTTCCCCCAAAGTTTGGATTTTTTTCCAACATTAGATTACTATGGTCATTTACTGTATATTTTGTACCTATTCTATTCCATTGATCAACCACTGTATTTCTTTGCCCTTAACAGATTGTTTTGATGATTAATATAATAGAGTGAATAAATAGATTTTGAAATCTCTTTCTCTTAGGCTGCATTCCTTCACATTTTTTTTGATTGATTCCCTTGATATTATTGATCTTTTGTTCTTCCTGATAAATTTTTTTCTTTGTCTAAAGAAATTCTTTGATAGTTTGATTGGCGTGGTACTGAATAAGTAAATTTAGGTAGAATCGTCATTTTTGTTATATTGGCTTAACTTACCCATGAGCAATTAATATTTCTCCAGTTGTTTATATCTGTCTTTATTTGAGTTTAAAGTGTTACATAATTATGTTCATATAGTTCTAAATGTGTCTGGGCAGATAGACTCCCAAGTATTTTATAACTCTCTGCAGTTATTTCAAATGGAATTTCTTTTTCTTTCTTACTGCTGGACTTTGTTGGTACTATATAGAAATGCTGATGATTATGGGGATTTATTTTATATCCTGCAACTTTGCTAAAGTTCTTCATTGTTTCAACTAATTTTTTCATTATTTTTAGGGTTCTTTTAAGTATACCTTCATATCATCCACAAATGTGATAGTTTTGTTTCCTTGTTGCCTTATTCTTCTTGTCTTATTACTGTAGCCAGGATTTCTAGTACAATATTGAATAAAAGTCTTGGTAATGGCGAGCCCTGCTTCACCCCGATCTTATTGGGAAGGTTTCTTGTTTATCCCCATTACAGATAATGCCTGCCCTTGGTTTTTGATAGATACTACTTACCATCTTAGGAGAAGCTCCATTTATTCCTATGCTCTCTAGTGTTTTTAGTAGGACTGGGTGTTATATTTGTTGCCTTGAAGCCAACTTGTCTTCTTGAGTTCCTATATTTTCATAAACATTGGACTTAGGGTATGCAGGAGGCCCTGAATGAGTCCAGGATGAACACACACCCCTACCACCCAGCTGACATTATTTGTTTCTTGCACCTTTCGCTGGATTCTCAGTGTATCCTTGAGGGTCAAACCAGCTACAAGACAGCCACCAGTGAGTATGCATCAGGCTGACAAACTGTTTGTACAGCTGGGACCCGTGTAGATGAGCAGACCCTCATGTCTTCATAGTCTAGAAGTTCCGAAGGGAAAAGAATGCTGCTTTTGCCATCCTACTTACTTATCCTCTCCCTTTTTGCTCCCTTTCTCCTCTCATACCACTCCCATTTGGGAGGGGATTGCCCTCTATTCCTCCTGTGGGACCTCCCTCTCCTTCTGTAACTCAAGCTTCTGTCTAGATTGTGAACTTCTTTGTGCTTGGCATAGGAGCTCCTCATGCATGTTCATTTCTCTTGTAATAAATTCAGTTGTAACACATGTCTCATAGACGTGTGGTTTTTTGTTAACATTTTTTCAAAAGCCTTTTCTGCATCTATTGATATGAACATATGATTTTTGTTGTTTTTTGTTACTGACATGGTCAATTATGACCATTGGTCATAATATATGATCTCTGTTATATACATATACATATATAAATATAGATATAGATATAGATATATAGCTGTAATCTGTTAACATTTTCTTTAAAAATTTTTGTCTCAGTATTCATTAAGGAAATTAGTTTTATTGCTTTCTTTCTCTGTTTCTGCTCTCTCCAGTTTTGTTATCAAAACCATATTTATATGATAGAAGGAATTTGGCTGGATTCCTTTACCAATTTTTTTTCCATATAGTATTGGAATTAATTGTTCTTTAAAAGTTTGGTAGAATTCACTTGAAAATCCATCTGGTCCTGGGGATTTTTTCTTAGCTAGTTCATTTATGGCTTGTTCAATTTACTTTTCTAAGATACAGTTATTTAAGTTTTTTATTTCCTCTATTGTTAATCTGGGCAATTTACATTTTTGTAAAAATTCAATTTCACTTAGATTGTCAGTTTTATTGGCATATTATAAGGCAAAATGGCTTCTAATAATGGCTTTAATGTCATCTTCATTGGCAATGCATTCACCCTTTTCATTTTTGATACTGCTAATTGTGTTTTCTATCCTTTTTTAAATCAAACTAACCCACTTATTTATTTTATTGGTTTTTCATTAAACCAGCTCTTGATTTTATTTATTAGTTCATTGGCTTTTTTTTTTTTAGGCAATTGGGGTTAAGTGACTTGCCCAGGGTCACACAGCTAGTAAGTGTCAAGTGTTTGGTCTGAGGCTGGATTTGAACTCAGGTCCTCCTGACTTCAGGGTGGGTGCTCTGTACACTGCACCACCTAGCTGCCCACATTCATTGGCTTTTTTGCTTTAAATTTTACTTTAAATCTGTCCATTGATCTTCAGGATTTCTGTTTTGATTTTTAATTTTAGGATATTTAATTCATTTTTTCCCTAGTTTTTATTAGTTACATGCCAAATTTATTGAGCTGCTCTTTCTGTCTTTTATTGATGTAAATGTTTAGAGATATAAATTTTTTGATAAATGGATGCTTAATAAATGCTTGTTTGCTTCCCTTCCTACCTCCTTCGCTCTTGATTTCATGTTTAAAGTCTTTCAGGCTTTACTCAGACTCACACAGATCCCTCTGTCATTTCTTGGGGATCAGATAACAAAAAATTGCTTCTGGTATTTATAACATAAAATGAAGAGGAAAACCAAGCACAGTTAAGCACTTTTGTAAGTGATGACTAGTAACATTAAAAAATTGCCTACAAAGGGTGGCTAGGTGAAGTAGTGGGTAGAGCTCAGGCCTTGGAGTCAGGAGGACCTGAGTTCAAATCTGGCCTCTGACACTTGACACTAGCTGTGTGATACTTAACCCTGATTGCCTCACCAAAAAGCAAAAAAAAATTTTTTTAATTAAAAAAAAAATTGCCCACAAGGAGAAAGATGGACAGAGGATACTTCTTAGCTATGATATTGTACAAACTCACAACAATTATGAAAAGCTTGATGAACAGTTTGGAATCATTGGGGCCTAGTATATACTTCTTCGAATTATATTAATATGATGGTATTCTTTACCCTCCTTTATACAGTTTTGGATCCCCTGGGTCTTTAGACTTGGACCTTTTACCCTTGTATTCTTTTAAGATATTTATTTTCATTAGTTTGAGGATTTCAGCCTGCATTTTGTAATCAATAGAATCATTATTGAGAATTATTTTATCAGGCTTTGCATAAATGTGGAATTCTTTGTCTTTAAGTTCTATAATGGATGAAACAAAAGAAAAGAATAAGAGAAAAGCTCCTCTTGGAGTGATAGCCCTCTGCCACTGTGGTGTGAGTAACCTGAGGCATTGTAAGGATTGACATAAGAACAAAGCAGATTCCATCTGTAGTTACTTGAAGTAAAGAGTTATTTGGGAAACACTGGCACCCATTGCTTTAGGCCATAACTATTCTGGAACCTGGACCTGAGTTTCCAATCATTAAAGGAGATAATAATGATTAAGAAAGTAGTCTGTGACTATATCAATAACAAAAACAACAAAAATCATGTGATTTTCTCAATAGATGCAGAAAAGGCTTTGGACAAAATACAGCACCTTTCCTATTAAAACACTGGAAAGCGTAAGAATGAATGGAGTCTTTCTTCATATGATAAGTAGTAATTTTCTAAAGCCAAGAGCAAGTATCATCTATGATAAGCTTGAACTTTCCCAGTCAGATCAGAGGTGAAGCAAGAATGCCCATTGTTACCACTGTTATTAATAGTACTCTAGAAATGCTAATTATCGCAGTAAGACAAGACATAGAAATGGAAGGAATGAAAATAAACAATGAGGAAACAATACTATCGTTCTTTTCAGATGATTTGATAGTAGCCTTAGAAAACCCTCAAGAATCAACTAAAAAATGAGTTGAAACAATGATGAACTTTAGCAGAGTTGCAGTTTTAAAGTAAATCCACATAAATCATCAGTACTTCAATATACTACCAACGAAACAGTATAGAAAGACAGAAGGAAATTCTATTTAAAATGACTGCAGATAATATAAAATACTTATGAATCTGTTTCCTAAGGGATCAAATCCTATATAAAATCAAGGATTATATGAACACAGTTACAAAACACTTTCCAAACAAAGACAGATCTAAAAAACTGGAGAAATATCAATTGCTCATGGGTCGAACAGCCCAGCCAGTGTAATAAAAATGATGATTCTACCTGAGTTTATTTATTCAGTGCCATACCAATCAAATTACCAAATACTTATTTTATAGAGCTATAAAAATAATAAAACCCATCTGAAAGAACAAAAGATCAAAAATATCAAGAAAATTGACCAAAAAAAAAATAAAAAAAGGTGGCCTAGCAATGCCAGATTTCAAACTATATCACAAAGCAATGATATTCAAAACTATCTGGCACTGGCTAAGAAATAGACTGGTGGATCAATAGAATAGATTAGATACACAATAATAAATGACCGTAGTAATCAAGTGTTTGATACACCCAAGGATTTAAGCTGTTGGTTTAATAATTCCCCATTTGACAATTACTGAGAAAACTGGAAAACAATTGGCAGAAATGGGGCATAGACAAGCATATTCCAAGATAAGATTAAAAATGGATAAATGATTTAGACATAAAAGGGTAATATCATAAGCAAATTAGAGAATGGAAAAATGTACCTGTCAGATCTGCAG